CAGCATCGCCGTTGGCCCAGCCTTGGTTTGTGCATCATGTTTCGAGCCGGATCGATCTGTTAGGGTTCCTGGCGCTCGAAAAGGCGAAAACGCCCAGCTCCAAAAATCGAGTCGTTAGGATCTCAGGTCTGTGTGTGTGTGTGCGTGCGTGTGTGTTGTCGGATGGGGGTCCCCGCTCCCACGGGAGCCCCCCTGGGGGTCGCCAGCCTGCACCCGTTTTTCTCACGCGCCCGCCAACCGCGAGGCTGGCGCGGGCCGGCACCCCCCACGGGTAGAAGGACTTGCTCTCCGTTCGTCGGTGCCGACGCCGCTGCGCGTCCTGGGGAGCCCTCGTCGCCCTGGCCAGACTCGCCTTGGAATCTTACCAGCCTCGAGCTTATCCCTATCCCTAAGACTGACACGCCAAAAAGCGATGACAATCTCAGGGATGCGCTCTCAAAAAATAAGGGAACCCCTAAGATTGGCATCGTGATGAGGAGATGCCCAGCACAGGGATAGGGATATGTTCCAGGCTGGTAGGAATCCTGCTCAGAGCAGAGCGCGCATCGTGTGGAGAGGTCCGTGGAGCAGCGGCAGCGGTACCGTCCCCGCACGATCCGCCGCCCTGCTTTTTGCTCCGGGCGGGGTCTCTCCGGGCGTCGCAGGCCGCTGCCCGGGGCTGGCTTTTCTCTTCCCGCGCGTCGCTGTTGGACGGCCCCAGAGGTCGGGCAAGGGCCCCCGCCCGAGGCCGAAGACGGCCGAGGACCCCACGTCGTCATTTCTTTGCGACGCGAGCGCTCGGCATCACCCAAACATACCTGTGCTACGTGTGCGTCGCCATCCCCCCCCAGGGGCGACGTGCGCGCCGAGAAATCTTGCAGTGTATATGCTTGGTGGCGTTTGCTTTCTGGCGATGCCACTTGGGTAACGATCTGCCAGGAGATGCTTGCAGCGTCCCCAAGCGGTGCGCATAGTATTGGTATGCCCTTCTGCCTATCAGCGCTCCGTTGCTGCCTCCGTCGGTCAACGCTCCGCTGACGACGTGCCGTTCTGACGGCGCCGTTCTTTTTCACCCGAGCTCTGCACAGGGCCGACTTGTTCGATCGGGCGGGATCGGCGCGGGGGTTGCTGAGTGGAAAATGGAGTTGTCAGTATACGTCAAAGTGGGTTATATCATCCCTAACCTAACTTATCAGCGGGCTCCAAGTGCCCTAAGTGGTTTAGGGGGTTGCGATCTGGGCCAGGTGGGCTCCGGCCACTTAGCGGAGTTATCGAACCCCCTCAAGACACCTTGGGCATGTGCAACCCACTTGAATGCTAAGTTAGCCCAGATATAATCGACCTTCGACCTTGGCATCCACCGAGAATCTCCCTAACCTCTTAGCACCCCCCGCGCCGATCCCAACACCGCGAACACGTGTGGGTTTTCTCTGATCCCCCCAGGAGTGCACGGCCTCCGCCGCAGAGTTGGCCGCGGCCGCCAGCCCGCCTGGGCAGGAGCCCTGGCCGGTGCTCAGCCGGGTCTTCGCCGGGCTGCCGCTCCGCGCCGGGGGCGGGGCCGAGGTGCTGAGGCGGGGCTACCGCGCCGCACTCGTGGCGGAGGCTGGCAGGGCGCCCTCGGCGGCGCTGGGCAGCCTGGCGCGCGCCGCGGCCCTGGGGCGCGCGGTGCCGCTCGTGGAGGCAAGCCCGCCGCAACAGGTGTGTCTATACACGGGCAGCCCTCGGCGGATGGCTCCTGGGGCTCGGGGGGGGGGCGGCGTGGTGTCGCGAGTCACAGCTGGGAGCCGACGGATTTCTGCCGCGCCGCCCGCCCTGAAAGCACAGGGAAGCCCGCCAGCGGGGGTCTGTGCACACACACACACACACTCACTGGCTTGATGTCATATGACATGATCTGAGATGGTGTTGTGCAATCTTACATGATCTGGTACGGTCATCCACACATATATATATATGTTTACACAGATGTATACATATATAAACATATGTATATATATACATATGTATACGGATGCTGATGTACGCGGCGTGCATAGGACGCGGAGGCGGCAGCGCTGGAGCTCCTGGCCGAGGTGGCGCGCGCCATCCAGGGCTGCGGCCTGTGGCTCGGGGACGAGGAGGCGGCGGCCCGCCCGGAGCCCGCGCCGTGCCCCCTCCTCTCCGCGGAGGGCGCCTCCTGGCTCGTGGGGGGCCTCGAGCACCTCCAGCGGCACAGCCTGTCGCCCCTCGTCGTGCCCATCGCCGTGGCGGCCTGGTGCTCGCGCCGCTTCCGCTGCGGGCCCCGGGTGCCCGCCGAGGCCGAGCCGCCGCCGGAGTACGAGGAGGTGGGCGAGGAGCCCACGGGGCCGCAGTGGACGGCCGCCGCGCAGGCGATGAGGCGCGGGGGCCTCCAAGCGGCGCTGAAGGGCTCATGTCGACTCCCCCGGGTCGGTGCGACTCGATGGCGATCGATTCCGATTCCGATGCGATTCGACTTCGGATTCCGATTTGGATCTCGGCGTCCCAGTGGAGGCCCTGCTTG